CTTCAGTGAGAATTGCTTTGAGTGACCTTCTATTCCTTTCATCTCCTCCCCAAAAGACTACTTTTGATAAATGGCAATACAGATTCATTATTCCTATCTTCTGCTTAATATCAAGGGACTCTCCTGATATGTTTTTGTAAAGACTGTTGTAGCACAAGTCCTCCTAAAGGTTAATAGCATCACTATTTGGATTCCCTAAATAGTTACTTATCACTTAATAAATTATGAACTAATAAGGTGTACTTGGTTTAACCATCTTACTGTGAACTAGTAGACATGGCTTTTGTATTTTAGATGTTGCTTTTATATGCCCATAGAGATAGGGAAGGGAGAGGATAATCGCTGATAACTAGTTTTAAATCAATTTTATTTTCTTAGAAAAATTCTATATTCTCTTCAGTCAATTTTTGTGCTTTCTTTTCCAAGCTGTTGAGCCTTTTTTCATAATTCATACCTTTTTTTGGGGGGGGGCAGTTGGGGTTAAGTGACTTGCCCAGGGTCACACAGCTAATAAGTGTCAGGTATTTGGTTTGAGGCTGGATTTGAACTCAGGTCCTCCTGACTTCAGGGCCGGTGCTCTATCCACTGCGCCACCTAGCTACCCCCATAAGTTTCATTTCTTTTCCCAGTTTTTCTTCTGTCTCTCTTACTTGATTTTTAAAATCCTTTTTGAGCTCTTCCAGGAAGACCTTTTGGTCTTGAGACCAGTTCATATTCCCCTTTGAGGCTGCACATGTAGACATTTCGACATCGTTGTCCTCTTCTAAGTTTGTTTTTTGATCTTTTCTTTTGCAAGAGTAGCTTTCTATGGTCGCGGCTTTTTTTTGTTCATTTTTAAAAGTTGAGTCCTGCTGCTGGGTTACAGGGGGCACTGTCCCAAGCTTCTTGTACTGGTTTTCTGCACTGGGGCCGGTGGCTTGCCCACCGCCCTCGGGTGGCCCGGCTTACTGGTGCTTGTTGTGCCCTGGGTTCTGGGGCTTTTAGTTTCCCTGCTGTGCTGGGGCTGGAGGCCTCACAGGTGGTGTTTTGTGCCATTGGCCTACTGAACCAGGACTGTGGAGCCTATGTTGCTGATCTGTGCTGGGGCTGAGCTTGCCCAGACACTGTCTGTTCTGGGCTCTATTCCTCTTTTACCCAAGTCAGACAGATCCTTCCTAATGTCCTTCTGTGTTATCTTCGGCTGGAAAATTGTTTCACTCTGTCTTTTTGTGGATTCTGTCACTCCAGAATTCTTGATTTAACATTGTTTCAGAGGGAAACTGGGGAGAGCTCAGGCAACTTCCTGGCTTCTTTCTGCCATCTTCGACAGCATCTCTTAATCATAGGTGTTAGAAAGCCAGAAGAAAAACTTTGTATTCTTAAATAAAAATATTATATAGGCTTTTTTGCTCCATTTGATTTCTCAGGCACTTTTTATTTTCAGCCTAGTGCATCTCTTTATTCTACTGCTCCAGTGAATCTATGATCTCATCAACATGGGTATTTTGTGCAGCAGTGCTGACGTCAAACAATATATACATGCCCATCCTGTATAACTGCTGCCCTGCCCTCTCATAAGTTCACCTTTGGAGGACTCCTTGACATACTGGAATCTTTTTTTGAGTTCTCCTGGCATTGTATAAATACCAATGGACCTATCCATTGATTGTTCCTTGCTTTTCATGTGACCACACTAACTTCTTTCTTTTTCAATTATACATTTTTCTGTCATCCTTCAAACCACCTCTGCATGATTCCTCGTTTGTAATGTGTTGTAGCCTGCTTACACCCATGATGCACCTCTGTATTACCCTTTGTAAGATCTTCAATTTCTATCATAAACTATGGCATTCCATGACTTACATTCATACAGCAGTTCTGGAATAATACAAGTGTTAAAAAGATGGGCCTCTGTTATTGGAAGAAGCTTAGGAACATAAATACCTTGATAATTTCCCGAAGGGTATCCAGCCTGCTTTCCTTTCCATGTTCAATTTTGGTCTCTGTTTATTGTCTGTGTGCATTGAATCTCCCAAATATGTATACTAATTGATAAACTATATAGGTTGTCCAATCAACTGCATATGTCAGTCTAGAGAATAGGATTCTTGACCCTTTTTTTTTCCAGTATAGATCTTTTTTTATTTTTTTTATTTTTAAAAAGTGAGGCAGTTGAGGTTAAGTGAGTTGCCCAGAGTCCCACAGCTAGTGAGTGTTAGTTATGTTTCTGAGGCCTGATTTGAACTCAGGTACTCCTGACTTCAGGGCTGGTCCTCTATCCACTGCGCCACCTAGCTGCCTCCAGTATAGATTTTTAAACAAAAAACTCTTTCCAGTGATTATAGTCCTCAGTTAGGGGCCTCTGTAATGTTCTGTGGCTCAGTGAAATCAGGAAGAGGTCATTCACAAACAAGAGCATCTGGAGAACCTCTCTATAGAGAATCACTCTTTAATTTGAACTCAACCCTGGACCTGTTCTATGTCAGTGGTGGCAAGCATATATATACCTTTTTTGTTCCTCACTTCACGATAAGTAGACCTTTAATAAAGTAATCAGTGTTGTTATATCTTTCAAGAAATGTTTTATGATACTGATAAGAGCATTGAAGACAACTTGTGGAATTAGAACTAGCTTCTAAGGCAGTTTTCTGCTACTAAATGAAATCATTTTTTGCAGTCAACAAACCATGCACATATTGAGATCTTGTATTCTCTTTATATCTTTGTTCTTTGTATGATTCAAAAGAGGTGGGCTTCTGCTTGAGACAACCTGTCTTTTTCCCTTCTCATACACTCACTTTGTGTGTAGATTATTCTCATTAAAATTTTGATAAGGTGGGCTAAGGAGCAAATTGGTAGCTATCAGTACTTTCATTATTGCCCTTTTTGGGGGCAATAATTAGGTCAAAGATTTGTTCTACCCCTTTGGTATCTTCTTTTTCATGTATTTTGGGAATTAATTCCTAATTATCTTCAAAATTGTTTTGCTTTCAACATATACCTCCTGTATATGTGTGCTAGGTCTAGTTCAGCTGCTTTTTCTCCCCCAGCAGCATATCTGGAGCTATAATGTTGTAGTCCAAATGAAATGATTTCACTATCCATGATGATTTAAAAAAAGTTTGTTATAAAAATCTTTATAGATCTTTTCTATTTTTTTTTCCTGGTCTGTATCCAGTTTTGTCTTAAATCGCTTTAGGATAACTTTTCTTAGTTGAGTCTCGACCCAAGCTTTCTTTAAAAAAAAAAAAAGTTATTTATATCTTTTGTTTTTATACCATTCATTTCCAGTTATTACTTCACCTACCACCAAGTAAGTTCTCACTTGTAACAAAAACAGAGTAGTTATGCAAACTTAACTTTGCCAGTATATTCTTCATCATTAGTCCCCCAGATCTGTGCCATAAGAAGGAGGTGCTTCTTCATCTCTCCAAAGCCAAGATTGGTCATTATAGTTATTCAGCATGCAGTTTTATACATGATTGTATTCCTATATATTGTTCTCTTGCTTCTGCTTATTTCATTCCATTTCAGTTTGTAAAGTCTTTCAACATTTCTCTACATTACTAATATCTTTTATTTCACGTTGGAACATTCATTATTTTCATGTATTAAAATTTATTTGGCCATTCCCCAATTGAAGAGCACCTACTTTGTTTCTAGTTTTTTTATATTTTTTAGTGATGACATGCTTGTTGACAATTTGTAATTCTTTTGAAAACCATTTGTCACCTTTGCTTATTTTTTTGGGAAATGGCCATTATTTCCCTATGTATCCCATCGGATATCTGACTTTTATTAGAAACAAGATGCAAATAATTTTTTTCCCAATTAACAATTTCTTCTCTTAACTATTTAGTCAAAAGGTTTTACTTATTTTTTTTACATATATAATTTTGGTTCTGGTAGTGCTTTATCTTCTTTATTGCTACTTTTCTCCCCACTATTTACCTTGAGAGCTTTGGCCAAACTTTCATTAAACATGTTTTTCCTCCATTGCTCTTGCTTTTTTATGGAATAATATGCTCATAACCTACCTTCTTTCTGTTTTTAAAGAAGGAAGTAAATTTGTTTAGAATTGAAATTTGTTAGGTAATACTGCTAAAATTGTCATCAGAATTAGGTTATTGAGTTAATCTCTGGCATAACTTTGGAAGTGGACTGTGGGTGAAAACTTTAAAATTCATGCCTTTTAGATTTTAAGCCCTGATTTTTTTTTTCACTGAATATAACACAATATACTAAAAAATCAAAAATCAAATCAAAATCCCTGAAATTTTACTATTTAGACAAGAGACCAATAATACGATTTAATTGTAACAAAGATATCCCACTGGAAGGTCTGAAAAATATAGACAGGGCATAGGAGGGAAAAAAAATCAGAAAGGAGAATAAAAGGCAAAGGTTGTAGATAAAATGGAAAGTAGAGAGAACGTAGCTAAAGAGAAAGAGAAAAGGCTCTAGGATCCTGAAATGTTTTCATGTACATATTTACTTCATCTAGGTCAACAAGGTAATGAATTTTCTTATAATTACACCAACCTCTACAAAACTGAAGTCATTGGTGTTATCTTTTAGCATTGTAAGCTTTATTTGATGCTTATGTTTTGTTTTAATATCAAACCATAAAAATAAGACATTTCAGAGCTGTTTTATTGAGATCTTTTTTGTGTGATGGAAGCAATGAAAGAAAATAAGTTTTACAAATTCTGTTTCTGTATAGTGTATACGTAACTTTAAAGAACTGTTTTAATAAGTTTCATATTAAATTCAGAAACGTAAATTTATACACACTTTGGTTCATATGTTAACTTTTATTTGTGGCTATTTTGTTTATTCCACATTTACTTGACCACCTTTATTTTTTTTTCTTTAATATCCTTTACAAGCCCTCTTCTATGGACAGAGGCATTACCCTGAATAAGTCCCAATTAGAAATTGTTTAACATAAAGCACAATCTTAAATATTAGGCCTGATAATTACTTTCCTACAATTGCTATTTTGGGTCCTTTCTTACTAGCCTGAGGAAATGACAAGATTGAGAAGCATGAACAGACAACTCCAGATAAATGTTGACTGTACACTGAAAGAAGTTGACCTCCTTCAATCTAGAGGTATAGACTTAATTGTTTGGTTAAAACATAAGTTATAGTGTGGTATTTTAAGATGCTTAGATAATAAAATGTTGATTAGAGAATTGTAAGGAGAAAAGCTTGTCCAGCATAAAGCTAAATTTTTGGTAAATAACTGAATTTTTAAAGATCATTGACCAAATTTTTTTTTCCCTAGAAACTAATTATTGGTGCCTTAATAGTGATTTCATTCTCAAATTCTTACCTTGCAAATTCTGCATTAAATATAGAATTCTGCATTAAAAATAGATTCTTCATTTATCACAGATTTATAGGACTTAGAGTTAGGAGGACCTTTAGAGGTCTTCCATCATTGTTCTTGCAAACACTCATTGACTGTGAAAACCTAAGAAAGTTTTTTATGTTTAGTATGAGTTTCACAGGAATTCAGCTTCTAAATAAGTGTGTTTTTCTTTAAAAATCATTGCTTAAAATGTAGACACAAGTCAATATTCATATTTAGTACTTTATACCATTTTTATATGTTGATACATTTGTGACAGGAAGCTCAAGCTTGCAGTATTAAAATTTTTTAAATTTTATTGCAGAGCATAATGTTTAAGTATGCAGTTAAGCATCCCATGCATTCTAGACAAAAAACAGAAGTAACATTTGAAAAGAATTCAGAATTGTAGTGAGTCAACAATAGAGGTAGAAACAAATTTGGTGGTGGCAATCGAGCACCCTGATCAAATATACCTGAAGAAACAATGTGGGAATCAGTTAATACCCACTAGTCTGAAGCATCAAGAGAGTCTTAGACATTCTGTGAATTGTATATTGCAAGATTTTATGTAGAAAATGGCACCAACTGGTTTTTTTGGGGGGGGGAGGAGACGAGGTAAAGATCTGCATGAGCAAAAGAATAAAAGATTACTGAAATATCTGGTTAGTCTTTACTACAGATTTATTAGCAGGAGAGCTACAAATGAGAGTACTAGCTTTAACTTAAGTAATTGAAATAGCACATATAAAATATTTAAAGCACAAAAACTGTAGTGAGCAAAACATGTAATTTTTATCTTAGAATCTCCGTGATGGAAGAGACCTAAGAGGTCATCTAGTCTAATCCATACCAATTATGAATTCCCTCTACAATGTCCCCACTTAGCAGTTATCCAGCCTCTGCTTTAAGACTTCCAACATTGGGGAATTCATTGCCTCCTTGGACAGTCCATTCTCCTCTTGGATAGCTCTGATTTTTAACAAAGTTTTCCCTTGTTTGAAGAAGTCTGAAGTTTGCCTCTGCAATTTCCATCCATTTCTTCTAGTTCCACCCTCTGGGTTCAAACAAAACTAGTCTTAATTCTACTTTCATATGACAACCCTATGGATATTTGAAGACATATCTCATGTTCTTTCTAAGTCTTCTTTTATCTAAACTAAATATTACTAATCCCTTGACATGATCTGCATGTGGCATAGTTTTCATTCCCTTGGTCATCGTAGACATTCTCCTCTGGATGAGCTTCATACTTGTCTGAGTCCTTCCTAAAATGGAACCCACAGAGTTGGCATAACATTCCAGATATCTCATCAAGGCAGGATATCACCTCCTTGGTTCCAGGAATTGCGCTTCCATTAATGCTGCCTGTGATCACATTAGGTTTTTTGGCTGCTATATCACATTTGATACATATTTAGTATGTGAAAATTTCCAGGTCTTTTTTCACATATATGGAAATAAACATGCTATTGAGCTGTATCAGAGGCAGTATGGCACAGTAGAAAGCATGCTGGACTTGGAGTCAAGAGAACTGGTTGTGAATTCTGCCTTAAATACTTAAATCTATGTGAGCTTGGGCAAGTCACTCAACCTTTCAGAACCCGTTTCATCATTTGTAAAACAAGGATGATAATATTTGCACTAGCTATCTCATGGAGTAGTTTCAAGGAGAACACTTTGGAAACCTTAAAGTGTATATAAATGTGAGGAGTATTTGTCTCCACTTTCCTGTACTTATGTAGTTCAGTTTTCAATAGAAACACTTTTATCTCCTATTGAATCTTATCTTTGATTTGGTCTGATTTCAACCTATTAAGATCTTTTTGGTCTCAGTTCTGTTATCCAACTGGTTATCCTTCCTGACTTAATGTAATCTTCAAATCTGGTAATCATGCCATTTATACCTTTATCTAACTTATTGATAAAAATGCTGACTAGAAGAGTGCTACAGCTTAGGTCAGTTTATTTTATCATTTTAAAATACCTTAATGAGCAGTCCTAAGAAATTACTTTTGGAAGATCTTCTTACAATGTAATTTGATGCACATAGATATTTGTAAGAGAACACAGGTAGAAGCCCATGTAACGTTTATATTTGCCATTGGAATTTTAATAATATTCTATCCCTTAGGTACATTCTTTGCACCCATTATAGTGGTACTTTAGTATTAGTACTAAATACTAAACTTAGTACGTTAGTATTTAAATTCCCCATAGATAGGGTCCGAGATTTTTTTATTCTATGTAATAAGATTCCAATGTATAATTTAATGCTATAAAAATAACTCTTCCATTATGGGGGAAATTAGAATAGATAATCTTTAAGGTACCTTCCTGATCTTAAGATTCAGTGGTTTGCTGAAAAGCCATACTAGTTAACAACAACAAAATCCTAGAATAAATGCTTTGTTGGAAGAAAGGATTCAGTATATGAACAAAAGACACTCTATAAAAATCTATTTAGAAAAGTAACTAAAGTGGCATGTGTTGTTAGATCTGTGTGCTCATGTGGATGAGAAACATGGCGCTAGGTTTCTTTAAGTAGAGTAGAACATAGGAATAATTCACCTAGTAGATCAAAAAAACCTGTCATGGAATAGTTACAATGGGAAGTTATAGCTATATACTATAGATAAAAGAAAATTAGTAAATGGAGTAATTTTTAACAAGTGTAGAAATTCTCAGAGATACTGGTATCAAGATTTTTTTCCCCTAGGGATTGACCCATTATATTTATTCTGCAATTGTTTCTGTGTTCCATCTGTCCATTGGTTGAATTCATTGATAGGCTCTGTATGTAACATATTTAAGACTATCAAGCTTATTCTGTTTCAAATTCATGTGAGTACTTAAAGATCATTACATGTAAAAATGGTATATAACTTGTTAGAAATTATATGCATAGGCATCTATCTTCCGTCTGACTATTTCATTTTGCTTTACTTTTCTTAAGGATCCAGTAAGAAAGACAGCTATCATCACTGTATGGGCTAGTTGCCCTTTCTGTGTTTTTTTGTTACCTAATAAATTTGTTTATGCCTACCCAAGAAAACTAGTGTAAAAGTTTTAGAACTGTTATTTTAGAGAATTTAATGAAAAAATACTGGAATGAATTTAAAGTGAAGGCTTTCTTTTATTGTGTATTTTCCTCGCATGAGGACATGACATTGAAGTTGTAAAGAAAAAGAGCAGGAGTTGAGTTCAGTAGTGCGAGTTGAGGAAATCCCTCTCTTAATTTCTGTCATCTCTTTTCATTTATTTCAATTTCAGGAAAATAAGCTTAATTCCTTAATTTTCTTGATAGGCAACATTACAGTTTTAGGAAAATAAACCTAAATTACTGTTTTATTTTTTCTTGTAGGCAATTTTGATCCAAAAGCCATGAATAATTTTTATGACAATATACAACCTGGTCCAGTTGTGCCACCAAAGCCATCAAAAAAAGGTGAGTTATCAGATGTCAGTGATACCATCAAAGTACCTTTGGAATATACATATCTTGACTCAATTCAGCAGACATTTATTGTGCTCTTACTATGTGTAAATCCTTGCTGGTCATTAGGAATAATGTGGATAAAATCAATCATCAAACATTTATTCAAACAAAACAGTCCTGTCCTTAAGGAGCATACAAATATCTAAATATGGGATAACTTGAAGAGGGCAACAGTACTAGCAGGTGGTAGGATCAGAATTAACTTTTAGGAGGGAGTGGCACGTGGCACTTAAGCTGGTAAGAATTCTGAGAGGTTGAAATGAGGGGAATGTATTTGGGAAAGCCTAAGTCAATGCACAGAGTTGGGTGATGAAATGTTGCTTTTTGGAAACAGTCAAGTTTGCCTGGAGTGCAGAATTTATAAAGGAGAGTAATATGAACTAAAATTGGAAAGGCTTGTTGGAGTCAGTTTGTAAAGAGGCAGGCTGATGAATTGTATTTCAAAAGTCATAGGGAAGTGATGAAATTTTTGAGCAGGGCGATAACATGTTCTTATTTGATCCTTACGTAGCTTAGGCCTTGGTGTCAATGGGAAGGATAGATTGGAAAAGAGAAAAACTGAAAACAGAAAGACTTTTACAGACAAGCAATGAGGGTATGAACTGCAGTGGTGGCTATGTGAATTGAAGGAAAGGAAACAAGTGAAAGACACTAGGTTAAATTTATTTTTAAAAATTGTCAACTGATGTGAGGGGTAAAGGGAGATAAAGGAAAGAGATGTGATAAGAGTTATTCTGAGGTTGAAAACCTAGGTAATTGGGGGAAATAGTGATTCTATTTTGGACAATTTGAATTCAAGGTGCTGATGTAATATTCTGGAGGATATAGTCAGTAGTTAAATTGATAAATAAGAGCTTTATTTGATTAAAGATTATAATTTTTTATAGTCTACTTAGAAAAACAGACATGGTGATATTGATACTAGCAATCATGCAGTGCTCTGGCATTTTTATTTTAAGAAAGTTGCTCAGATTAGTAATGCATTACTATTATTTATCTTCCTGAGTTCAAATCTGGACTCAGATACTCACTATCTGTGTGACCCTGGGCAAGTCACTTAACCCTGTTTTTCTCAGTTCCTCATCTATAAAATGAGTTGGAGAAGGAAATGGCAAACTACTCCACTATCTCTGACAAGAAAAACCCAAATGAAGTCATGAAGAGTTGGACCTGGCTGAAAAATGACTCAACAACAACTAATATTTTCAGAGATAAATTGTTTAATGGCGTAGTTTATAGAAAAAGTTCTGTATTATTCACTTTACATTTAAAATAGTCTGAATAAAATGAATTTTTACAGATTCAGAATTTTTACAGATTCAGAATTTTCAAAGATACGCTTGCGTTGTTTTTACAAAGATAGAAAATTAGATTTTTGAAGACAGATTAGAGTAGCCGAGATGTTTTGAGTTGGAGAAAAGAAGACGATGAGGTTATTTTAAGAGATTTTGTACTTGAAAAAGAATTGTAGGGTTTTTTTTCCCCCCAAATAAGATTCACTTCAATATGATGGATAAAGGTAAAAAAGAATCATGATTTCATGATGTTTAGTATGTACTAGAAAAAGTTCATCCATAGGACACTGTAGAGGAACCTTTTTCTCCTCTGTTTGGAAGATTTAAAAAATTTAAATTAAGGGCAGCTAGGTGGTGCAGTGGATAGAGCACTGGCCCTGAAGTCAAGAGGACCTGAGTTCAAATCCGGCCTCAGACCAAACACTTGACACTAGCTGTGTGACCCTGGGCAAGTCATTTAACCCCAATTGCCTTTAAAAAAAAAGAATATTTTAAAAAAAATTCAAATTAAATTAAAATTTTTGACATGATTTACTTATAATCTTGCCTGCAATCAGGAAATGAAATGGATGACTTCTTAGATTCCCTTTCACATATGGGTGATCCTTATTTTTTCAAGATAGAAAATTTAAACAAACTTTAAATATTTTTATGAAAGTTAATTTCTGATTTATAAATTATTTAAAATAATTTGTGTTAGTAACCATTGTAGTATTAGCAGCTAACACACTGAATATTTATAAACAACTATTATATTTTTCTCCATTAAATTTTCAGTTAGTACTAACATCTTACATAAATATAATCCTTGGAAATGTCTTGCATGTCATTTTAATTTCTTTCACTTTAAACCAATATTGAATTTAATATTTAGTATGAGGATTGTTCTGGGGATTATGTATTTCAGTGAGTTGTAGAATACCAGTCTGAAGTTGAAAATGGAAGGCACATGGTGGACAAGAGTAAACTGCAATATGTTATAAACAATAAGTTTTGTTTATGAAGCAGCATCAAGGGTGTCATCAAAGAAGTGTATAATCAAGAAAAAAAATGGTGGTGTAGTGGGAGAGAAATCAGTCAACAAGCATTTATTAAGTACATGTTATATGTTTGGTACTGTGCTGGAGATACAAATACAAGAAATGAAATAATCTCTATTCAAAAGGAGCTTCCATAACTGATAGCTTGTATGCTACTTTCGGATCCACGGAGTATCAGTAGAACTTGAGGAAGGCTCTCAGCAAGTTAGGGTGACTTTCTGTGAACAGCTTATGGGAATACATGAGTAAGAGTCCCAGAAGAAGGGCAGGTAAGGTTATGTTGCAGATAGCATCTTTGGAAGGAATACCACATTGTTGGAATCATAGATATTTTGGAGTATTAATGAGTATCACTTCTAAGCAATTCAAGCTATATTAGACATATTACATGTAATGATGGAATTGGTATTTTAATACTTCATGAGTCCTTTGAAGTATTGATTTCTGTTATCGGTGTTCCCTTTGGGTATTACAGTAATACATAGTAACTAATGATAATAATAATAATAGCAGCTAGTATTTATGTGGTTCTTTTGGGTTTACAAAGCATTTTACAAAGTGCTTTACAAATATCATCAGAAAAATCGAGATATATCGTAGGCAGTCTTCATCAGTTGCTTTAGTCACCACAGCTGAGTACCTAATGGCTTGAATTCTGGTGATAAGAGCCTACTCTGCTGGGAGAACAACCAGTAGCAGTTTGATGCTCTGCTTGCTTACTTGGTAGGACTTGCCAGAGTTCATAAGCCACAGGCATAGTCTTTGAGAACCCAGGGAGGGCTACCTCCAAATCACAATGAAACATCAGCATAGGACCTTAGTGAAGGAGTATTTTAGGAAAATGATCAATTAGGAAAGACATCAATCTTAAACAACTTTCTTTAATAGAAAGTATTCAGTTTTAGGTTAAAAATGGGCATAAAGTGGTTAAAGTATGACAGCTAATCACCTCCCAAATTTTCAAGCTATCAGAGCATGCCAGAAAACTGTTTACATAAATATGCTGTTTACATCATAGCATCTTTTTTTTTCTTCTTTTCTTTTTTGGGGGGGGGGTTGGCAATGGGGTTAAGTGACTTGCCCAAGGTAACACAGCTAGTAAGTGTTAAGTGTCTGAGGTCAAATTTGAACTCAGGTCCTCCTGACTCCAGGGCTGATGCTGTATCCCCTGCACCACCTAGCTGTCCCCAACAGCATAGTATCTTTAAATATACTCGTTGGTTAATGTTACCATGGATGGACTTTGTGCTTCATATATAATTAAAATAGGCTCCTAATTTCTAAAAATGATAAAAAAGAAGAATCTTGGTGGTTGTATTCTAGTCACCAGATCTCGCACAAAGTAGTGTGTAGTTTTAAGTCACAATTCAGGGAGCATTTTATTATGAGATACTTAATCTTTGAATTTACCTATGCAAGTATGACCTGGAAAGAATGTCAGGTGAGTTTGGGTTTATTGATATTCTGTGGGGAAACCTGTTAAGAAGGGCCTTATTTTTAAAAATGCATTGAGGCAATGGTGTAATAAGAATTATGGTTTAGAATAACATGCAGGCATGTAAATTTACCTTTCCATAATATCAACTCTTGATTATTTAGAGGTAGGTTATCCAATTTGGATGTTATCTAGTCTTGTTTTATTCCTTTTTCCTATTTTGGTCATTTTACTACCCATTAGCATCTTAATAGCTACAATCATAGCTAACGTTTATGTAGTGCCTACAATGTGCCAGGCAAATGCTGAGTGCATATAAATATTATCTCATTTGAGTCTCGCAACAGCCCTGAAGTTTGGTGCTATTATTATCATCTCAGTTTTACAGATGAAGAAGCTGAGGCCAACAGAGGTTAAGTAAGTTACTCAAGATCACACAGCTAGTGTCTGAGGCCAGATTAGAACTGAGGTCTTCCTGACTCTTGTCTACTGTGCCACCAGCTGCCTCTGATCTTATGTCGTGGGATAGAACAAAGAAAGAAGACAAAGCTGAAATCATTCAGTTTTTTACTTGTTAGGAGCTCTAGTAAAAGCCTTGAGAAAGAAAATGGGGAGAAGTTAAAGAAGTTTTTTTCCCTCTCTATTCAGAGTTGTTTTCAAAATTCTTCTTTCCTTGAATTAGCTTTGAACAATTAACTTTATTCTCCTGCATTGAATTTGTAACAGCAAATTCTCTCCATGCACCCTCCCGCCTCCTAGCAAATCAGCTGCCATTGGAAGGGGTTTATTGTTGTACTTCCCTGTATTGTCACTCACTATCCCTTAGGAACAAAGTGTCTTTCCAGAGGCATCAGTCTCCTGTGAGCATCTCTCATCCATTAGAATATAAGCACTACGAGAGACTCTTGTTGTTTTTGTATGTGTGTTCCTGGTGTTTCGCACAGTGCTTGGCTGGCATATAATAAACACTTAGTAAATGATTTTTTTATTCATTCTCAGTGTAGAGATCCTTCAGAACTTGGTAGGGATTGAATTCAGGAGATACATTGAAAGAATAAACAATGCATCGTAACAGATTATATTTAGGGAGTAAAAGACATAATTTAAATAGTGCTCCAAGGTTTCTAGGCTGAGAACTGTGTTTAATGGTGTTTTTAACAGTAGCAGGAAAGTTGAAAG